GTAGTAAAAACTTATTATTTTTAATAAAGTCATCAGCTAAGACTTGGAATACAGGACAGGCACCAAGGGCTGCATGCACAAGCGTCAGGTTAAAAGTATTGAACAGGGTATAAAAGCCAGGGGAAACAGAGCCTGCGGCTGCACCGCCACTAGTGTACTCCTGCCTAGCATCTGGAGAGAGGTCAAGGATGGGGGAGAAGAAGGTGCCTCATTAGTGCGCTGAGGATCACATTTAAGCCCATGACTCATTCAATATCCGCATTCTCTGCCCACGCTCATCCCTTTTCCCATGTGAGAGAATAGGCACACAAGATGTTCGCTACAATAGGCTTACCCTTACATGCACCTCCGAAGACCTTCCACTTGCGATTGAATTGAATGGTGACTGCCTTGCACTCTGAGGGGAGCAGCTCTGTAGCTGCCATATTGCTGTAGTTGTTTCCTAAGCATAAGTGCATGTGCACTTTAAAAACTGCACAGGAGTTGAAGTGAAAGTGACTGGTTTTGTAATACTAGATGGTCCTTTTCAGGGCAGGTGCTCCACTGCTCAAATGAGGTAAGTATCTGCTCAGGGCTTTGCTGTAGCCTCAGCAACTCCTGGCCTGATTACTTTTGCTCACCCTTCATCCCCTCAGCATCAGGACCAGAGATGGAGGGAATTCACAGCCCAGCCATATAACTCGGCCAGCATCAGCACAGCAGAAGGCATGCAAGTGCCAACTCAACGTGCTCACAGCAGAACTGAAGGGATAGTCCCAGTGCTTTCAGGTCCAATGCCTTCAACGAAGCAATGCACTTCATTGCTTTGGGGGGGTGAGGGGGAGGGGCAAGATTTTTTGCCTGGAGGCCCAAAAAATCCCAATGTTATCCATGCAAGTAGTCCCAATTTTGAGCCATGCAGCTCCTAGGTCAGCAATTAGCATCCACATCCTCATCTCCACTAGAACATTTGGTCATGGAGACTCTTTACTAGCCCTGGATCACACTGTGATTCAGATCTAAAACATTAGGTCCCAAATCTAGACCTCCAAATCTAGGTCCCAATAACATGCCACTGCTATTTTGGGAATAGAAGCGAAACGATTAGGTAGCTATTTTTAAAGCTTCTACCAAATCCGGAGTCACCAGTAACACTTTTCTTTTCTCTGTGCCTCCGACCCAGGTAACCCCCTTTTCTAAGTGAGATCAAAGTACTAGTTGTCTCTGTACAGCTAAAGGCATATCTTGACTGAATACAGAGAGGCCCAGAGATTGAAGGAATCTCAGACTCTCACTAACTTTAATTATAATTCTGGGGCCATTACTTGCAATTCAGTTAACCTGATCTTCTTTCCTTGGAGATTTAAATATAATGCTGCGCCTTTAAGTTCAGGAAACAAAGCCAATTTCCCAGTCTGAAATTCCAGTGGGTCAGTAAAACACACTGTCTCACTGGTAACAGATTGGCCCAGTTCCCAATAGCTCATATAATATCATGAGCAGCATAATCTGTAGAATCTACAGGATCAACGTGTCTTCATTATAATGTATTGTGGTTGGTTGTTCTCTATCTAGTTTCCCATATCACTCCTATTACTATCACCTAAGCTGCAGAACTGAAAATGGCAGCTGTCTCTCTCCTTAGCCTGGTCATGCAACTAAAACATACACCAAAAGTCAGGATGGACCGCGAGATACCCATGAGGTGAGATCTAGTGATGACACTGGACTGGGAGCTATAGACCTTGGTTCTGTTCCTGGCCTAGCCACGAGACTCCCCGTGTGACCTGGCACAAATTACACAGGGCCAAGCCCACTGACTTCAACGGCGCTATGGCAATTTATACCAACTAAGGATCTCATAGACTTTAAGGCCAGAAGGGACCATTCATGATCATCTAGTTTGGCCTCCTGCACGTTGCAGGCCACAGACCCCTAGCCCCTTATTCTCATAGTATCTCAGTTCCCTGGCTATTATACTGCTCCTGCCTGGTATTGCTCTTGACTACTTATATTGCAAGCATTTCAGATCAGGGATTCTCTCTTGCTACATGGTTGTGTAGCACCCAGCACAAAGGGGTCCCAGTCTCAGTTGGGGCCTCTAAATCCTACTGTAACGCAAATAAATGGTAAAACATTTAAATGGCTGCTTCACAACACTTTGGGCCTGTTTTGCTAGCAGGATAATCGCATTGGAAAGAGCAGTGTAGAAAACGTACCCAACCACAATCCACCAAATGTACATTACAGTATTAACAATAAACCAGAATTCTTCTTGAGATCTGTACATTTATTTAAATAATTCTTTCCTAGGTTGAATGACCTTTTACAAATCATGTTTATTTCACAGCTTTCTTCTTAAAAAAAAAGCTTGTTATCAATAAATCTGTGGAGTCAAAGCAAAATAGTTATGGTGATAGCTGAAGTATATGAGGGTCCAAGTATATGAAGTATTTGAAGCAGAAATAGCAGGACATTTTCTTAGTGATAGTAACCAAAGAGTACTTGTCTGGGAGTAGCTAGCACAGATACCTCTCAGAGCTATTCTCTGAACTGATCTTAAGGTAAATTATATCTTCATGCAATCCACAGAGTCCAGAGTTACTCTGCTCAAGGGAAGTTACTAACCTGGTGATAGGTTGCTGTAGGGTGGGGAATAGTAACGAATTCCCACCCACACTCTTCCTTCCCGAAAAGGGCAAGAAAAAATATTTCACGCCCATGAAGGTTTCTCTAACGTCAGAGGAATCAAGATGTTTTTGGAAGAGGAGCACAAGTCACAAGATAATCTTACAAACATTTGTTTTGTTAACTTGTAGCATTGCTCAATTCACATCAAGAGTTTTTGCTTCTTCCTTCTGCTCATTTGATGCTCATGAAAGAGAGAGACTGAGAACGTTGCCTAGAATTGGCCCTGGTGCAGCTCTGCCAGTGCACCTCAATCTTGTCCCAAAACACAGCTGGCTCTTTGAGCATGTTGTCGCTCTAGAACATATTTAATTATTCAATGGGCCTCGTTCTGCTCTGACTGGTTTTCAATGGGGTAACTGGGACTGAGGTGCTTAAGTCTGGGGTTTAGGTACCTAAGTCCCGTTGTGGATCTGGACCAAGGAGACAATGCCACGGAGAGCTGCCATCTTCCATCCCCCTATCTACTTACTCAGGTAACTCTCTCTGCACCATCAGAGCTATTTTCAACTCTATTCAGCAATGATAAAAAGCTCTTCTTCCGTCATGGAGGCAATTATTAAAGTTTAATATTTAACCCTTCCAAGAGCGGGAGCAGCCTATCCCTTTAGCCAGACGATACATGGTTAAAATAGACTTTCGCTGTAATGTGATCTCCCGTGTTCAGTGCACACTCAGGGTGTGCCTGTGATGTCTTACACTCATGTTGCTGTGACAGCATAGCATTGTGCCCATTTGTAAGAGAGATGGATTATTTCACTGGCACACAAGTACAAGAAACCATGTATTTCAGTTCATACTCCATCTAATGCAACAAGTGCCATCCTTCCTGAGGGAAGTTACGCTGCAACAGCAACGCCATATTATTGCCAGAGCAAAACTATGGACATGCTAATCCTGATGCATTTGTCTAATCATAGTAGGGTGAAATTCACTGTTGTGCAGAAGGCCAACAAAACCCTGTGCAGTGCTGAAGTCCGCTTTCAGAGCCCCCAAAATATTCTTTAAGTGGTGCTTATGGCCTTGTGCTAGGCCTCTGCACAGGACTGAATTTCCCACATTAAAGCCCAGTATAACTGACAGTATTGTTACAGGGCAAGCAGCACAAAGTCGTGTCAGAGAACATTAAGATGGAATGAGAGTTTTTGAGAGAGGTAAAATGTGTTTTGATGTTTGTTCTGGTTTTTCTGACAGACGGACATTGATAAAACAACATGAATGGTGCACAATCAAAACCTCATTGCACAAAGCTAGAAACTATTGTTCGTATTTCACATTGTTACGTCTGACGGATAACTGAACGAACTGTGGTGTCTGATATTTAAACATTCCACACCAAAACCAGTCATCTGGTTTTAATGAACACATTTCCCAAACAAGATATGGGTAGTAAAGGGACATTTTTTTCCCCTTAGATATTTTGCTTCTGTTTGCTGTCTCTGATATCAAAGAGGGCATTAAACTGTTTAGGACCTAAGAAAGAAAATGTAAAACAAAGACTTTCTAACCATCTCTCATACCATGCTGTGCTATGTGCTTTTCTCTTATTTAAACGCCTTATTTCAGAAAAATGGGAGGCTGAATGAGCATCCTGAGATGGAATGAGCAGCAGCATATTTAGATGCTGCTAAGTTTTAAGTGCATGAAATTTTGCAATATATGGCCCTTAGTATAGAACTATGGCTATGTATCATACTGTAAAAGGAACAAATACAGCATGTGCCAGGTTGTTTGAGAGCCCAAATCAGCATGAAGAAAAGGTTGACGATTGCAGAACTACATTAAACACAGTTTACAAGGTCATACTATGGTTAATTTGACCTTAACATTTAATCAAAATTGCCCCTTATTGAAGGCTTCTGCTAATAGGTTTCTGCTTTGAACTGATCTTTTCACAGGCAAGATATCAGGAAAAAAGCACCTGAAGTGTCTTCACAGATAAATCTATACAGGTTCACTATCTCTGAGCATCCTGTACCACCACAAGTCCATTTACAGGTCCAATCCTGCACCATTTAAGTCAATGGCAAGACTCACATGGAGGTCCGTGGGTTTAAGATTAAGTCCTACATTAGGAAAAACATTCGGCTTTAGTTTAAGAGGTGGATGTACACTGGCTCAGAATCCCACTGAACTTAAGGGAAGTATGGATCAACATCCAAACTTTTTTATCTAGAGTACAGAGCAAAACCAGAATATCAGATCCAACTCTTCTTGATATTTGGGGAAGATCAAATCTAGATCAGAACAGAGCTCAGGACCATCTCTATGTATTTCTATCAGTAGTTGTTGTTGTTGTTGTTTTAAAGAAACGTAACTAAGGAATCCTGAAATGAATGTTTCTAACATGAAACAGCTTGGGGTGGGTCAACCCTCAGGCTGAGTTAATTTGACAGCATCCCTTTAACTTTCACAAGAGCGATCATTTAAGGAATGCTGAATTGTGACCAAAGCAGAAAATTAAAATGCGGAGCCAACTTTCAGTACCATCCCAGAATTACTTTATTCATGATTTCATTGGTAAAGCTGGTTTCCTTCCACCTGCAGGAAAATATCACATGGTAGAAACAGCGCTCAAATGGGCTGACCCTGTGAAGTGCTGGTGAATGCCTTCAGCTCCCACCAAGGAGTCAAGGGCCTTCAGCCCCTTCTAGTAGCATTGGTCCCAAAGCTAGCAGGAATTCAGAGCTTTTTCTGTAGCAGATGCAGAGATCTGGTTATTATCGCACTGAACACTATAAAATTGAAAGACTCAAAGATTAAAGGAAATTAATTATCACTCCCTTTTTTAATACATTTTAAATGCCCAGACTTATTTTGCAGTGCTCACTACTATTTTACTACATACTCCTGAGGCCTGCTCCTTCATTTCAGACCTCAGCAGGAGCTTTGCCTGCATTGTTTCCTATCTGAAGGACTAAATACAAGTGATACATTTCTTCTTCTGATTGAAGTAAGGGTGTGGCCACATATATCCTAATAGGTACTTTTTATTCATTTATATAAATTATTATTTTAACTGGGACATGTTGTATTTGGAAACACTGTAGACCTTCAGAAAGAGAGTCCCCAGATTATCGCCTATGTTTCAAGATTCAGCCTCTCCCAATCCTCCTTTCTGAAGTGATGTTGAAAATAGCTATTTAGTGCTGATAAGGCATAATTTCACAGTATGACGATACAGAAGAGTTCATCGTGATACAGAAGAGTTCATAAATTTAAATGAACGGGTTTGATTCCAATTTTGAACACACTTCATAATCCTCTCGCCTTCACCATTTCGGCCTTTCATCTAAATGCCTTAAAGCACTTTATGAGCACCAATTAATTAAAACTCACATCACCCCTGTGAGGTAGAAAAATATTATTTTACAGGCAGGAAAACTGGGGCATAAAGAGGTAAAGTGACTAGACTAAGTTTGCACCAAATCAGTGGCAGGGCTGAGAAGAGAACCCAGGAGTCCTAGTTCTCAGCTTGCTGCTCTAACCAAAAGATCACCCTGCCTCCATAGTCAGTCCATGGAAGTTTCAAATTGCATTCTTCAAGCGTTTATAGTTTTTGTAATATTTAGTGTGTACAGTATTTGAATTCTTTAGATTTCTAATGCTATTGTCCTCAGTTACTGATCACTTTACTATAGTCCTTTAATTTGTTTTGCTAAACTGGATAGGATATGGAATCCGAGTAAAAATTGCAAACTTTGTCCTTTGTAAAAAAATAAAATAAAAAGACACAACCCCAAACAGTGGAAGCATTAAAAAAAAATAGTCACATTGTTCAAGTATTTTTACCAGGTGCCACAACAGCGATTAGTGTTAAGCGACTGCTGGAGTGAACAGCCGTATCCGTTTTTGTTTTTTACTGAAACTGATTGACAAACTCTTCTCTTCTGATAATAGAGGAATGGTGGTAGCGGTCTCGAGAGGCAAAATCTGCATTCTCTTCAGTGAGCTGAGTGGTCTCCATGCCAACTGTTGCAAAGGATGGTGTAACAACAATCTGCTCCTCTGGGGATGGCCTTCTCCTGAAAACAGACAAACACACAACCTTCAGCTGTCCCATTGTTTCCCAATCTATCAGCAGCTGTGCTTTGAACTATGTAAACAAAACAAATCGAACCTCTGATGCACAAAGACTTAGAAAAAAGACACTAAAAACTTTTCTTGGTGGCTATGTGAGTTGCAGAACTCAGAGAACATTTTCCTCTACTAGAAAAAAATAGTAACCTTGCTTACAAAAATATCCCTCCTCTCCTTGGTTGCTGTCCAGTTGCTCCAAAAAGTTCTTCAGCCACATAAAGTGAGGCAGAATTTGCTTCAATTACAGTTGCACTTTGTGGCTGCTAACAAATAAAAGGATAGTCATATCTCTTACCAACCCTTTCCCAAAGTTTACAGGCAATGTGGTTGCAGAAAAGTGAGAAGGATCTACTACTAGTCATCCTGCTCGTAATGGTAAAGGTCAGTCAATGTAACTTTATGCTACAGTAAGATTTTTAGTGAGCTCTCTGTCTACAGAATATAATCTACTGTATTCAAGAGAACTTTTTCAAATTTAGGGGCCTAAATTTTGGCAACTCAGTATTGTCAATCTCAAGGATTCAAAAATCATGAATCGGGATGAAAAAAATCATGAGATTGGCTTAAAAGTCTTGAGATTTTTAAAAATGTTAGGTTCTTTATTGTTGCCTCTGGTTTCTGACTCCTTAGGATGCACACTCTTCATGATTTCAAGCTTTTCTCTGCATCCATGAGGTCTAGAAACTTTCATTTAACAAAAAAAAAAGTAAGCTGAGATTTTCATGGCATCTCTTGATTCCAGGAGCTGGGGTTTGAGAAACACGTCAAAATTCACATGACTCACAATATAATTGTGAAAGCTGGTGACACGGTTACATCCATATATAATATTTGAATAAGTAACCTGATTGTGCAAAGAGCCCTCAGCTGCCTTTAAAGTTCATTCAGCATCTTCCCAGATTGGGCCCTCAGTCTCGTTAAAATGTCCTTTCCCACCTTGCTTTGCAATTGTAAAAATAAATCTGAAGCCAAACCACCTACAATTTATTTCTGTGTGATATTGTGGATATAAAACAGCGTCAGGGGTGTGCTTTAAATTTTTTTTAAAAAGCTGTGCTGGGAATTGACTGCAGGCATTATTATAAGGCTACCCTACCAGCTGTCTAAATTAGAGAGATTTCATCTTGTGACAAGAGATAAACAAGATCAACTTCTAACTTGGACTGCTGCCAGCCTTACACTGGATCCTTTCTAGCTGTGTCTCGACCGATCAATACTACTGACAAAAGGCACCAAGGACTCTATCAAGCTGCCAAGCTGCAGTATAAGAACCTCCGGTAATAGTGACACATCTACCCAAAGGTGTGGAACTGGCTCATTACAGGGGGAACATTTCTCTTTTTACGCCCACACGGTGGATTGCTCATCCGCTGCACTGCAGCTCTCTATTGCAGGAGTTGGGTATGGAATGGTCCACAGAGATTTGAAGTGGGAATAAAAAATACACAGAGGTGTCAGGAGAGGAGAATCATTCCCTACCTTTGCAATGTGTGTATATAAAGCAAATAATTAATGTGCATATACACCTAGGGGGAACTGGATGGACGTGGTGTACAGCACACAGATCCTCTTGTTGGGTCTGACTCACTACGCAATGACTAATTCTGACTAGCCTTTTAGCACGAACCCATCCATCCACCCTGTTCTCATGCCTCACCTCATAACTCTTCTCTTTCACTCACATCATAATACAAACGAACAATGTGAAAAGAGAAAGGAAGAAACCCCGGACCTAATAAGACACGTAGAAAGCTTAATTCAAGGCCATTCCCCCTCCTTTGCCTGTATTTTGTCTAACTCAGGTTCTGATCCTGCTAACACTAATGAAGGTATGAAACTTTACTCCTGGGAGTAGTCCCAATGGCCACAGGAGTAAAGTTATACACACGATTGTGGGTTTGCAGGACTGGCACCTTTGAAAAAAGTCTTCAAGGCAGGTCCCTTGTCTTCTTTTATATAGGGGAGGCAGATTGTCTATTGCAGAGGCCCCTGGGCTAGGAGTCAGGATGTCTGGGCTCTATTCCTTGCTCTGCCACTGACCTGCTGGGGAATCTTGGCAAGTCACTTCACTCCCATCTCCCTCCCACCCTTCGTCTATTTAGACTGTAAACATTTTGGGACAGGAAGTGTTGATCGCTATGCACAGATACTTAGCACAATGCGGCCCCGATCTTGCTTGAGGTCTTTAGGTAATAAATAAATAAATATCTAAAAAACACCATGCGCACCAATGGTGTTATACTAAAATACAACAAGAAACAGTCATCATCATCTCTTCTGAATAGCAAGCTGTGTGGAACCTGGAACCCGACCTCTGCTTTCCTCCAGGAATTGACACTAGCCAGTATCCTCGCTAGCATTCCCATCCAAATTCTGGATTAGAATATTGCCATCTAGCACATACAGGGCTTGTCTACACAGTGGGGTGATTCACTCTATGGCATTCTGATTTCTAAAGAGTAATTGGTCTGTGCAGCCTCTGCTGCGGTGCACTAAAGGTTCCCTAGTGCACTTTCACGTAAATAGAAGTAAATATTTATTTTTGCCAGTAAAGTAAGCACATGCAACGCTGAATATAAAAAGGGGGCAGGTCTATTGATTTAAGTAGTAAATCACGTAGTAAAAAACGTAGTCACTTTCTCTAGCCATATCAGCACTCTAAATACAAGATGATATCAGTTATATCAAGGAACTCCAATACACCAAAAGAGGTGTGTAACAATTCTGCAACACACCGCCACATTTTTTCACAATGTCAATTGTTTATTGTTAAGCGTGAGCATTACTTATGTCACCACCAAGTGATTAGTACCAACCTGCATGAGCTGACCAAACCTAACTTAATCCAGCTGAGAAAACTGAAGTTAGCTGCTGCCCCTGCAGAGGGAAAACACATGAAAAGTCACCATGCTGCTAATTCTCTCATAATAGCTTTACATGATCTAGACTTGGAATAAAATCTCAAACAAATGTGCATATTGTTATTAGCTCTACTTACACAAAAGGTTACAGGTTTAATAACTGTGAGAATGTGTTTCATTTTTTCCCATACATGAAAGCTTTTAAAGATTCTCAAGAATGTAACCTGAAGAGAACCATTGATTATTCCTAGACATAAGCTTTATTAAACTGTAATAACAATATCCCCTATATTTTCTCCAGTAGATCTCAAAGCACTTTACAAAGGAGTGTGTATCACTATCCCCATTTACAGATGGGGCAAATAGACACAGAAAAGTGAAGTGACTTGCCTGAGATCACCTAGGCAGAGTTGGGTATAGAACCCAGGACTCCTGAGTGCCAAGCCAGTGTTCTAGCCACTAGGCAACATTGCCTCCTCTACTGGTATAGGTAGTGACAAAATGTAGTGATCATTTAAGGAGCAGAAAACTCAAAAGCATGTTCAAATTGTATAAAAAACAAAGATTGAAAAGCTAGGACATTTTAAGTTAAGGTAAATCTTTCAAATAATATGTTGGAAAATATGGAAAGATAGAGTTAAGGTACTCCTAATAACCTTTATTCTGCCCCAATATTCCATATCGGAGATAAATTGAGGCTGAAAAATGGGGAACTGATGTGTAGAGGGTAGATGGGACATTCAACAACTTAACTGCTTATTTCTACGTTTCTTATAATTTGCGTTCATGGGATCTGCAATCTAGCAACCTCAAGTCTAAATTATCAAAAGAGGATATTTTCAAAAGCATGTGAGTGATTTAGGAACTCAAATCCCATTGACTTTCAAAGTTCCATTGATTTTTCTCCTCCAAAATTTTGTGCACCCGCCCTCCCACACATGCACACACAGAGGTCGTCAACACATTGATCCCCACCACATATATACCAAGGAAGTGTAGGCTACGGTAGCTTGCTTTCTGAACTTACTTTAGTATTTAATTTTGAACCTGTACAGTATAAACCAATCACATGCATAGATCTTTTCAATGCCCTTTTGCTTAAGAGTATCAGATTATGTTCCTCACATATTCAACCAGTTTAATTCAGAATCAAAAGGCCCTCTTGTTTTGCCATTACAAACACTGAGATTTAATGAGATGCTTATTGTAATTCCAATTTTCACAGCAGTTTTCTCAGGTAGATTTATATTGACTAATTAGGTTTATAAAAGTGTATTTATAGATTAGCCATTGATGTAATACATTTAATATCTGCAATTCCTATTAACTCTTAATACCAGTGCTTTTACTTATAGTAATTGCTCTTTCTAATTTATTTTATAGCATAGCAAAACAGTTTATTAACTTTTAGAGATGTTTAAACTCATCAGACCCAAAAATTAATCTGGTAATGCTAATTGTAGCCAGAGACAAATATAGAACTATGTTTAAAGAGTCAATTATCAAATTTTACAATAAACTAGCAAGGAAACAAAATCTGCCATTTGTAATGTGTAACTCACATGTTAAATGAAAATGCCTTAATTTCAAATTAACTCCAATTAAAATGTAATAGGTATTTAAGATGATCTAATGCTACGGATTAAAAATACTCACCAGGGGGTAGTCCAGGACTCATTTGGCCAATGTAGAAATATAGAATAATTGCTACACTCAAATTAATGAGAGTGTAGATCCATTGAATGACAAACATGATTACAAGCGATCCGATTGCCTGTTGAAAATGCAGTGTTCAGGATTACTACACAGAGCATGATTGTATTTCACTGTTACGCTAACAAATATTTCCTGCAAAATCCAGAGGATGTTTTCTGCCATTTTTCTGATCTTGTGCAAGACCTGGCAATACTCTGGACCCTGGGGCAGTATTACCAGCCATACAGAGGGGTTGCCCAGAGCAGGAGTTTATTCTTCAAGATGAAAACAGGCCAATGCCTTTGATGAAGCCAAATAAAAAGCAGCCTGTACCTATGAGAATCCAGTATTTTTATTGAATATGACAGCACTGGAGCTTTCAAGGTGTCATTTGAACATCAGAAACTCCACCTTCACCAGCATTGCCAAACCCTGTACACCAAACCACCCCCATTTTATATCCTACCGAAAACCTACGTTCTGCACCCCCAGTGCCTCCTCTGGAGTTTTAACCAGTAGCTCTGGATAATCATAGATCTCCCGGCCGTACCCTACTGGTCCTCTGGCCTACCTCCTCTATATAGGAGTGGGGAGAGAGCTGCCACAGAGCATGGCTGGGTGATATACAGAGAGCGAAGATAGACTTCTCTGTGGCTCCCAACCCAAACAAAATGGAAATGCGCTAGACCCATCAAAGTCAGCAGAATTTCAATGGGCTTCAGATAAGGCCATAAACCTGATTCCTTTGTGACTTTTTGCTTGTTTTTCGCAAATTTGGATCAATATTTCCCAAATTTTTCACCCATCATATAGACGGGTTGAGATTTGCCACCTTTCAACATGCAGCAGAATTTCGCCCAAAGGTCATTACTATAATGATGAGAGAGCTCTATGATGCAACTGCCTTACAACATAATCATCATTATTACTATTTTCTTATTTGCTTCCTGTAGCACCGCCTATGTGCAAGATGCTGTACCAGTATAACAGGAGGCATGGCCCTGCCCCAAAGAGCTTACACAGAAAAAAACAGAAAGATACGATAGACAGCAGAAGGGAAATGAGAAGGGACTCAACCTAGAAGTAAAGTGGTCAAGGTGACTGCTTAGTCAACCCTTTGTATTATCAAACTCTGTATTACCAATTTAAAAATACAGGATATAATTTCAAAAGCGTCTAAGTTTCATTTTCAAAAGTGACTTAGGAGCCTGAGTCCCATTGTGCCTAAGTGACTAAGGCCCAGATCCCTGAAAGGGATTAAGGTGCCTAACTCCCATTGATTTCAATTACGTGCCTTTGAGGGTATGGGCCTAGACCTCTTTCAGAAAGGGACGTAGGCACTTTTGAAAAATGTATCCATACAGAGTATCCCCCTGTTATCCTCAGGCGCACCATCCATAGAGTCTCATAGGCGTCAGGGTAAACGTGGGTTGTCAGGAGGTGTCTGAATAGGGGTCAGAGTAGTGTCTTTGCATGCCAGCTCAGGAAGCATGTTCCATGTCTGGGGGACAGCATGGAGATGCTTGTAGGAGAAACAGTTAAGCAAGTCAAGGCTGGCATTACTGCCAGAGCTGAGCAGGCAGGGGAGTGGGGCAGACAGAGGCAAGGGGTCAACAAGTATATTTATAGATGTGCACATATATTATTAAGCTTCCATATCAAGTCTTTTAAATCACTGTGTACCTACCCCAGCCCCAGTTATCCACCATGGTCTCTTTCCAAGCCAAATCATTCCACAGAAGCCAAGTCTGCTTTAATAACAATGTCAGAATCATCTCTTTACACAAATGTAAGAATTCCCCCATGCTTATGTGAGGTGTTAACCGCAGTCGTGATATAAGAGCTCAGTATTTGGGAACCACGCTGTTTACTGATCCAAAATGTAGATGTTAGCTTGCAACTGCTTAGAAGATTTCATCCACTCAGGAAAAGACACCTTACATTCATCCCGCCCATCTCATCACAGTTCAGCAGGGCCTTTCTCTGGCAGTTAGCATTTGATGAGCAGATGAGCTACTGAGCAATGTGGTTTGAAATGTGGTTGCCAAAGCCAAGCTAAAGATAGTGGGTAATTTAATAGGTGCGCTGTATGTTGTTTAACTGTACTCACTATACATATACATGAAATCACGTATGTGGAGACAATATCCATGTGATAAAGTGCAAAGCCAGGTGATAACTTCATTTATCATGTACCTCTGACCACCTTTCCTGCCATCTGCTCCAATCCATCTCCCCAAGACTTATTTTAATGTTCCAAATCCCTCAACTGCTTCAGACACCTGCGATTTTTTAAGAGAAATGTTTCCCCTCCTTCCCCAAAGGTGGGATTTCCCTCCAAAATTACTCTTGCCCTAGGTCTGGGGAAAGCAAAATTCTATGCAGTAACGGTTCTTTGATACATAAAAATGGCATGGCTTCTAAGCTGACATCTGACTACACTGCACGGCTAGAAAGGGGAGCTTCACACCAATGATAAGGGGGAGATTCCCAATGGAACTAGTCATGTTCTTTCTGGTCTGAAAAGGCCCCGAGATACCTGCCTTTTTAGGTCATTGTCAGATATTTTGATGATGTGCAGTGAGCCCTGTACAGTGGGATTCATGCTAAGTAAGGCACCTGGGCTTTACAGGTGGAAGGATAAAAGATAGTCCCACTCAAAATGCAAACATTCCTAAAATAGTTTTCTGATATGTAGGTGGCACATACATAATGCATGTGGTATTCACATTCTAGCAGCACAAGTCTGGATTAGACACTTCACTTCTGAGTGGCAAAACCCTGAGTAAACTGTGCCGATCACCCAACATTAGCGCTTCTAAAACCTTTATACCACAACACATAGGAATTGCCAGACTGGATCAGACCCGAAGCCCAGTATCCTGTCTCTGACAGTGGCCAGCACCAGATGCTTCAAAGGAAGGGTGGGAACCTCACCATAGGCAGATGTGGGGTAATGTGCCCCCCATGAAGGTTTCACCCTGATCTGTAATAACTAGAGATTAACTTAAGTCCTGAAGCATGACGTTTAATAAACTTTCCACAATTTTTGTTCGCATTAGGTATTACTATGATATACACCATCATATATATGCCTATGTCACTTTCAGTAGGACTGAACTTTACAGGTAGTGAAGTGTCCAGAAGGACCCCTAGACTGAATAGCACCCTCAATGGCAGGAAGGCAAGTGGATGAATGTGACATAGGCAGCACACGGATTCCTCACCTGTTGCCAGAAATTTGAGCAAAACAATGGACCCCCAATTGGCTAATTGTGGAATCTCATTTTAACGAAGTAGCAAAGATGGCATTCTTCTTCCATCTACGAAAAGGACCCATAGAAATGTGCACACCCAGCCAGTGTGATCAACCAGGTCTTACTGACTGATTCCTGTAACTTCACAACTGCTGGTCTCTCAAAAACCACTTTGAGAAAAGTGCAGTTGCCTCAAAATGCTGCAGTGAGGTTAATCATTGGTGCAAGATATCACAGCCATATTCATCTCATTCGCAAATCACAGCCTGGGCTTCCAACGACGTTTCAAGCTGATTTTACACTGTCTCATTCATAGTCTTGTTTTGCTTATTTTGCCATCGGCCTACATTTCATCTTGCTCCTTAGACCCCAGTCTCTAACTACTATGGGCTACATTCTACTCTGGGTTACACCACCTAAATCCAGAGTAACTCTGGATTTACATCAGCAAGACCAGGAGCAGAATGTATCCCTTTCTTCCTAAATATGGATTGGAAGCAGGAAGTCAGATCCTAGGTTGGGACTCTAAAATTATGGTGTTCCCACACTATTTAAATAAGATCAACCACTTCTGTCCCATGTTGACTTTTAGTGAGATCCTGGTCTGGCCTGCTCACACATGAAAGGGAATAAGATGGCATACGCCCACTATTTGCATTTTGTGGTAGGTGAAAGCATCCTCTGCAGAGTCACTAAGCCCTTTCCCACTGGCCCAGGTGGGCAGTGATTGGGCGGAGCGAGAATGGATAGACCCTTGGCTCTGCGCCCCCCTCCCAATGCATAGGGCAGCACAAGTGCACCAGGTAGCGTGCAGATGCAGGGTACTTGCCCCCAATGCACTGGGGAGGTTGGGGATTGGGAGGCAGATTGCGACACTGAGTCATAACCTCCTTCCTGGGCTATACCTGCAGCAGCCAAGCAATGCACTGCCACACACACAGGGCTCATGGCAAAGTCACAGCTAAGCCCTAAAGCTTTTCATTCAGCCCTGTGTATCTGAGCTCTACGATTAACCAACCACATAATGATTTGGGATACTGGAAATGAAAACCCCCTTGCCAATATATTTAACTGCATTGATTGTGATTTATTATTTATTTATTTTTACTTTTCTACCATCCTAAAGCGATGCGCAAAGTAAAAGAAAGTGACTTACACCAACAAGGGAAACCCAGTGATTGCAGAATCTGGCGTAGAAGGAAACTGGCATTCTCTGAATTTCTAGTTCTTGATTTTGTTGCTTTACATTTGTATCTATAGAAAGAAAAAGAAAACAGAAGCATTACAAAACCAACACAGGTGATGAAGTAGAGCTACATCCTAGGAAGCAGCCAGGTTACCCCTTGGTTAGGGTCTTTGTCCTCTATCTACATCAAGTTACATGAAAACAAGATATAATTTCAGGCTTCCAACTTGCATGGCCAGGTTTAGCACTGGTTGTAGAGCGGCAGTGTTGTCTAGCATTTAGTGCAGGAGACAGGGAGTCTGGGGTTCTATTCCCAGTTCTGCTACTGATTCTTTGTATTATCTTGGGCAAGTCATTCCCTCTTTGTGCCTCACTTTCCTCATATGGAGGATATAATAATAAAACCTCACAGGGTTTTGTGAAGCTTAATTAATAAATGCTTGTAGAACACTAAGGGCTCATCTACACGAACAATTAGCTTGCGGCAAGCAGGGGTATGACTGTACCCTGCACTAGCCTGCCCATACTAACTGTCCGCATGGAACCTGCTGATGCACATTAACAGTTCATTAGTGAGCATTGATCTAGTGTTCTTTGAAATAGGACTAGATCAAAGCACATGAACAAACTTAATGCAGGTCATTAGGACCCACACATACAGTTAGTCCCTAACAGCCTAGTGTGGGCTAGATTCACACTCAGCTTGCTGTGAACTAAATGTTTGCACAGACAAACCCTAAGATTCTCTGATGAAAAACTCTACAAATTCAAAGCATTAAGTATCCAGATCTACAATATAAATTAATTCAGATTCTTAGATGCAGTGATGATGATGTGACGAATTACTCATGGTCTTCTTGCACACCATGGGGATAATTTCATTCACAAGCCTCCTCCCCCCAATATCAAGATGAAAACAAATGCCATAGTATGCTCAGAAATCTTTTAATGTACAGCATTAAGAATGCATTTGCAGAATAAGCAGCAGCATGCTATAGACAGTGAACATTCCCACATAATTTTGCCTGTTCTCCAGCAATTAATCTTTCACTGGCAAATTAGATTGGAACCTCTCCTGTGACTCATTATGATGAACTCTACCCTCACCTATAAAAAAAAAAGATATTATTGCCATGAATCACAGAATGACAGCATCATATAAAATTAGTCTCTAGCCTGCCTACAGAAAAGTGCCAGCAGGACAAAGATTATTAAGCAGCCCCCCATGAAAACACAAATGTCTATCTCTGCTCTTGTGATCTTTACCTTCCACTTTCTGATTGGGAGGATTCTGCAGCTCATTAAAAAGTTGTTCTCCATATTCCATTAGCTCATGGTCACGTTTTTGCTCAGTGTCCACAGTTGATGATAAACACAGATTTCTTTCACTCTGATGACTCTGTTCAGCAAAACTCTGCAGACGTTCATCACTAGGCTCTGATGTTTTGGTGCAACAGTAAGGGGCGGGGGCAATATTATAATCAAGATCCAAGAGAAAGCTGTCTTGTAATGTTTGCTTGGCTGGCTTCTTTATCTTTCTCTGTTTGACCTTTTGGTTTAAATTCTTGTCTCTCTCTTCTTTCTCTTTATGAGTCTCTGGATCTTTATTAAGAGGCTTAAAAAGCTGGTCCATGTCTTTTGTGAATTCTAACAAGGTGCCATCTGATCTGCTTTGAATTATTCCATCTGATCCATAACGGGAAGTTTTCTCAAAGGTTAAAGGCTGGGAAGAGTTGACAACCCTAGATTCCTCCCTCTGTGTCCTTTTGGGTTTCTGCTGTAGGATATAACTCATAGAGACTGAGAAATAAGAGTAGTCCACAGCAATGTATGTCAGCATGAAGTTTATGGTGACTATAGGAGCAAGGATGTTCACTTGGCCAACGAAGACGAAAGCCATGGTGATGAGACTCGTTAAGCAAATTGCAGCCACTGGTGTCTTGTTACGCCCTTTCTATTTTGTAAACCAAACAAACATATTTAAATATATATTTGCATACTCCACCAACCCAAAAGTGAAGACTGCCCTCTCTGTTCACACTGATAGAGGACCATCAACATCTAGGCAATATTCTGATGGACATCTCACTGGTCATGAAATAAGGGAATATATACATATATGAACAGAAGCATCAGAGTTTAGTGGCTTAAGTGAGGGACCAGGAGCCAGGAACTAACAAACACAAATCTGACTTCTGCCACTGACTTGCTGTGTGGCCTTGGGAAGGTCACTTAACTTCACTCAGCATCTCAGTTTTCCCATCCGTTAAGTAGAGTAATAAAACAATGCTAAAACTCACAGAGCATTGGTAGAATTCTTATATTGTTTAGACGGGGCTTTGGAGAGGAAAATTGCTAATGATCGTTAATCATGCATTTCTAATTTCAGGTCCATGCAAGAACATACATTGTTGCCAAACAAAAGGCTTGCCATATACAGAAACTGGAAAGGAGCTCTGAAAACGGTTTCAATTGGCAGCTAAGCCAAGCAAGCCTTGTGGGGCAGCGAGGCAGAGGAGAGGTGCCATTTTACATTAGAAGCTGCTGGCCTGGCCTTCAAATGAGGCTAAACTGCAGCCACAGTATTACCGGATTCCGCATTTAGCATTACTCCTCTTTTTATAAAGAAGCCCCAACTGTCTTAAGGCCAAGAGGAAAGGAGCAGACGAGAGGTTAAGCAGTCAAGGATGTTAAGGGGTGTGTGTCAGGAAGAGCAACAAATGATGCCAGGCGAGGATCAGGAAGGCAGACTACCACGAGAAGTATTGTTTATTCTTTTACTTTGGGGCAGGGTGGAGGTAGCGGGAGGATGGAAAGGAGGCACAGACTGAAGTGCGTCAAGCTGAAATAAAGGACTGGGAGTTGGCAGCTCCTGAACTTTAACTCCAGGTCTAACCAAAGGGCGTCTTTGGTTGCCTTGGACGCATCACATCATGTTTCTGTACTTCTGAGATGCTTGTGCAAAGCCACGTAAGGCTCACGGGACACCAATGAGGGCACAATCTGACTGCAAAACCTCTCTTACAGGTAATGCTGTGTGAGACATAAAGAACCTCACTCCACTCTCAGGCTGCGTCTTCACTGGGAAATTCGTGCTTAAACATGATTTTCAATAGCTGAGTTAGCTGACATGATGCTGACTGGCCAGCACAGACCAGGACAAGCGGTGGGCAAATCCTACTGGGATCAGGGTTTACCTATGACTAGCAGACACAACGCTGAACACGTCTTGTCCTTGTCCACACTGACCAGTCAGTGTGACACATGGTCAGAATCACGTCACCACTCTCAGTTGGAGATCAAATTATATTCAATGCTAGCTCCGCAGTGAAGACAAGCCCTTCAAGCTTAGGGTGAGTTTGTGGGGCTGGCAGTTAAAACAAAGATGTCGCTTTTTATGTGTAAATGTGATCTGGAAATCAGCGAGACACACTCACAAAGCAACTTTACTAAGCAGAACCACACTAATTAACTTGGAGACTCTGATGTAAACCTACAGCACGTAATAGATTCTTCTTGAGGAATTTATGTTTTTCTCTACCCAAACCCTTACATTAGTGCCTAAAGCATCACCTGGGGTAGGAAAACACTAAGGCAAGAAGGCACCATGATAGAAGTTTATAACTATCAGTGAGGAGAAAATATTAATGCTGGAGAAGGATTATTATTAGAATGGTATAAATAGGCAGAATGGGATGATGACATTAAGAAAAGGAAAACTTAGCCTGAATATAAGGGTATGTCTTCACTACCGGCCAGATTGGTGGGCAGCGATCAATCCAGCGGGGATCAATTTATCGCATCTAGTCTAGACATGATAAATCGATCCCCGAGCACTCTCCCGTGGACTCCTGTACTCCAGCTCGGCGAGAGGCGCAGGCAGAGTCAATGGGGGAGCAGCAGCAGTCGACTCACCATGGTGAAGACATCACAGTAAGTCGATCTAAGTATGTCGACTTCAGCTACATTATTCAAATAGCTGAAGTTGTGTAACTTAGATCGATCCCCCTCTACCCCCCTAAGCATAGACCAGGCCTAAGACAAAATCCTAAAGTGCAAGATAGGACTCTGCATGAGAAGAAGCAATATTTTACAGGATCATGGCCTAGATTTATTAGGTTGTGGAATAGTAACCCTAAGGAAGTGGTGGAAGACCATTACTTGGGACATTTAAAACTGGATTGGATGAGACACTGTCAAGAATAATCCTGCACTGAGGGATGAATTAGATGATTTAATAGGACTATTCTGGCTCTAATTTACTATCAATTAGGAACTGAAATGTTATGTGCTTTTTTTAAATTAAAGAGATTTTTGGAGGCATTTAAACATTCACCTACCGTATTGGAAACACAACACTCTGTATGGGAAGGCGGCTAGTTATTTGACCATGCGGACTAATGTCACTGCCCATGCTGAGTGAAATGCACAAATGAAAGCAGCAGCATAAATGGTGAAAAGGAAATTAGATTTCTAAGCCTCTTGTGGCTTTAGCAACCCAAGGGAACATTTTCAAATAGCAGCCAAGTGCCTAACTCCCATAGGAGCCAGCTGCCTAAATGACATTTGTGCCTTGGACAATCTCCCACCTAAGGGGTTATTAGTACCACAAGCAAAACATGTCAATCATGACTGTCCCTTTCATACAATCTTTCAGCTCTGATTGGATAAACAAGAAATAAATTAAAATAAATGCTTTTCAAATATAAAATACTAAGACTTTCACCAGCTTCCATATAAACCATAGTACTGACCATACAAAGGTACCGCCAATAGTGTCTAGAACGTACAGTCCAGTTATACCAACAGTAACACAAAACATGCCACTTTGAAATATTTTTCATCCTATATTGTCCTCTATTGTACGTGCTTCTTTAATAAACACACAGCTCAAACGGAAATTATTTCCATTTCCTCCACACTCATTTATTAATAGAAAAGGATAATACATCCTGCACCTTACACATTTTCCCAACAATATGAGAAATGTGTCTCACACATAACAGGCTTCAGAGTGGTAGCCGTGTTAGTCTGTATCAGCAAAGAGAACGAGGAGTACTTGTGGCACCTTAGAGACTAACAAATTTATTTGGACATAAGCTTTCGTGGGCTAAAACCCACTTCATCAGATGCATGGAGTGGAAAATACAGTAGGAAGATATATATATACAGAGAACATAAAAAGATGGGGGTTGCCTTACCAACTGTAACAAGACAAATCAATTACAGTGGGCTATTATCAGCAGGTGGAAAAATCAAGCATAACAGTGTTCTCAGAAAGCATCTTAAGTATTAGAGATACTATTGAGACAGGGAACAGATGGTACACTCTTAGGATGCTTCTGGGCTAAGGTTAACAACACTGAAAACAACGTTCAGCTCCTTCATATTAACTAGGATTACGATGACTACAAACATGTTTAAACCATTGTATAAACAAACCAGTGCAGAATGCATTGTTACGGGCAATCCACTTTATTAACCGGCCCGTGAACCAAATCAACAGTCAATTCTCAAGGTAGCAGATACAGGCAGGGAGGAAGGAGATTTTCCTTTAATTCCTAACCTCTTTTCAAAGCACTTCCTGTTCTGGTACCTTGCCAGCACAAAGGAGTTCATATTAGGAAATGTTATGAAAAAACAGAAGCTAACTATGCCATGTTAGCATCAACTTTGCCGCCATTGCGTCAAAGTCAATGAATGACACCACAATAGTTGAGTGCAGAATTTGGCTCTTTCCACAGAAGCTACTTAACTACTTTCAATGCTTTGATTATTTTTTTTAATTATTATTACTTTTATTTTAGAGAACCACAGGAATATTCGAGAAACAGTGCACACAAAATGGATACACTTAAAAACTTATTTTAAAGTAATTTTTCCTCACTTTATTTACAAGGCCTTGCACATGTGAAAAATTGCTCTCTTGAGATTTTTCCAAACTGGTTTGCTATTACAGGGTTGCCTTGAGAGAGGCAGTTTTTTCCCTTCATCTAGAAAAAAACAGAGTCAGAAAAGAAGGATTTGGTTTGAATTTATGGTCCAATCCTGCAACCCTTATTCATGTGAGCCCAGTTGAAGTAAACAGGACTACCCAGGTGTATAAGGCTATGTACATGAGAAATGGCAGCAGAAACAAGCCTTGGTCAGTGTTCAAACCAAAGCTTAGCTTAAAAGAGCATTTAAGATTTGTAGTCCCCCAAACTGACCTTCTTTAAAATGTATCCGTCTATCCTTTTATTATTCATTAATTTTACAGAGTCCAAAATGAGTTAGGCACCTCACAATATAAATAAGAAGTGATATCTGCCCTCTGATGCTTACATACTAAGGCCATGAATCTGCCACTAGCAGAACTGGGCCTAATTTCAAACATGATGAAATCAAGGGAAACGAAAAGCTAGCAGGGAAGAGTTATGGAGGAAGGACAGAGTATACAGGCTCGGATTCAGCAAAGCACATAAGCATATGCTTAAGCCCCATTGACTCGATTGGGACTCAAGAACGTGTGCGAAATCTACATGGCAGCTTGAAGTAGTAAAGGTGGTGGTGGCGGGTTAATATATTAAGACATAAATTAGCCACTCATTTTTTTTTTTATTAACTGGCTAATTTATTGTGGGCATCATAAAAGAAATGGGTCCTATGGAGGGACTTGAATAACGAGAGGATAGAGGCCTTGCAGACCAGCTCATGAAGGGTTTTCCATGAATAGGGTTCTGTCTGGAAGAAACCAAAGAGACTGATGTGAGAGAAGTGGACTGGGGTACTGAGGAAGACATCAATGGTGGAACCGAGGGGGTGGGGTGGGGCATACAATCAAAGACAAAGTCAGAAGGGGCAGTTATATGGGTCCTTGAAGGCAAGGACGAGAAGCTTGAACTTCCTGCCATGAAGGAGGGGGAGTCAATGGAGGGGGTTCAAAGAGCAGGTGACATGAACAGAGCAACAGGCAGGGAAGAGGGGGCAATATGAGTGCTGGTGAAAGCAGAGATTAGAGGAGGAGTTTATAGTAATCAAATAGGTAGATGAGGAGGACCTGGACTCAGACAGAGAGACTTCTCCCATAACTCTGTATTTCTTTACAAAGCAAATATTTGAATGCGGTTTCCTTTCAGGGTCCCTTCCAGTTCTATGAGATAGGTATATCTCACCTGCTGATCCCCATTGGGGAAAAACCATGACCCCCCTCCTCTCCTGGTATTTAATTACTGTACATCAGCCAGGACAATCTATTGACAGCAGATTCATTGTTTCCATGCATCATTAATATTTGTTTGTTATAGAACCCATAGCTAATTCTACATCATCACTGATTACTAACCCCATGTCCAAGAAAGGAAAGGGTCGGTATCACTTTTTCCTGGGCAATGCACTGAAGGATTCGGGGTGCTCCATACAAACCTCCCATGCAGGAAGCTAAGGAGGAAATGTACAATCCTAATAAAAACAAGAAACCCACCAAGGACACCTGGAAAATGCAAAGAGAAAACAAATATTTATCAGATATTTAAAAAAACACTTAATTGTCTTTAAACACAGATTTTTCCAAATTAAAATCAATTAATTTCCTTTGTAAATGCTAAAGACTTTGGCAAAAATTTAACAGAACGAGCCGTGTGAAAATAGAAAGTTAACCTGCTCTGTACTGTGAGTGTGAACTAGTAATACAATAAAATTATCCCATGAAAGCAGTTCAGTGTTGAACATTCTGTACCAACTGGAAACCACTCGATAAGCTCACGTCCAGAAATATGTGCCACTTGGAGAAAACGCTTCGAGGAAGCAGACATCTGATTCCATTCAAGTAACTGGAAGTGAGTTTGAAGGGAGTTTATTTCAGGAGAGCACACTTATATACCGAGATCATCATACAGGAAGAGCTATCCCAGGCTCTAAACCATCCAAAACAGGAAGACAAACCCCTGTGTCCCATAAGGGAATACCAATAGTGGAGGAGTAGCAGGGGAGGGGAAGAAATCCACACTGCAATCAAATCAAAGCTGCCATTTAAATAAATGGGATTTCAAAAACATGTTCCAAAGGATATAATGCAACGACTTTATTTTCCTGTCTTAAATGTGTAAGGAATTTCTTTAAGTTAAATGAACATAAAACTTAAAAATCCTTAAAGCAATAATGCTAAGGAGACTGCTTTATTCATATTTTGTATTTGACACCTTTGGTTCTACTGTATTCCAAACCAATATTTAAATTTTACAAAACTTTTTACAGGCTCATCAATTAAGGGCAAGCACCTTTTATTACTAATATTTTGTATGATGGAAGGTGTCAATACACACACATAGTAAGAGTCCCTGACCCAAAGACTTTACAATCTCCGTAGACAAGACAGCAAAGCATGGGAGAAAGGTGTAATATCCCCATTTTACAGATGGGGAACTGAGGCACAGAGAGATAAAGTGCCTTGTCCCAATTCATAGGTAAAGTCTGTGGCAAAACAAGGAACTGAACCCAAATCTCCCGTCCAGTGCTTTAACCACAACACCATCCTTCCTCTGCTTTTCACTACTGGGCTGGAGCAAGGCTGCTGTTTGACAGCACACAGCAACATTATACCCTTCAGAACAGGAAGTGAAAAATATTGTAGCCAACTGAAATTTCAAAGGGACTCTGGGTCAGCAGAATGTAGATGCACAAACTGAAATCGAATCAGGTAATCTCCTCATCTGAAAGAAGGTGCCTCTGGCTACACAGTTGCCTGTAAGACTATGGTGGAACATGGATTGTTTCAGTAGCTTTTAACACGGAAGAATAACACCTACTGAACCATCATCATAACTTCTTGCAGCATCCTGTGTTCACCTTGCTTCCATCCATGATGTGAATGGGCCCCCCAAATTCTAGCCAATTGTATAATTTAATGACATGATATTTCCCTTAACATCCACATTAATTGTGCAGGTATTGATCCTTGGAAGAAAGAACAAGTTATAGTTATACAGAAATACAGACAAAAAGAGAACAGATTCATTTGAGATTAGCACAAGGGACAGGGAACTGGAAGATCTGAATTCTAGTTTCTCTGAGGAAGAAAATATAGAGGCCATTGCCAGTATTTTCAATATAAGTTAAGGGTTTATTATACTCTCAAGATGAACAGCAAAGCAAAGGAAATTGCATTTGTCTTTTCCTGCTTCTCTGTGATGTATGAAGATGGCTTTCAAATTTCTTTCCAAAATACTTTCCCATATTTTTTTAATACATGAAACATCAGGAATATCAATGAGGACCTCTCTTCCTTGTCTTTGTTAGAGGACCTTGGCAAAATCTTTGGAGGACCTTAACAGAGATGTTTCACAAGACAATGGAGCTACAGTTCTCTCCTCAAAACTGGATAGGAATAGGATGCTGAGTCTTAGACATCTAAAGTAACAGTGAGGACAAGAGAGAACCCTTCCTTATATGTTGAAGAACAGGCTTAGGATCTGCTGAAAGGTTGATGTTGCTCTGCCTATGTCTAGTTCTTATACTGAACCCATCCCTATGGTATTTGAACTCTAGAGACATTCCATCATGTAAAGAAGAGTAAAATGTCCTTTGGGTGGGAGCTCCAAAGAGAAGCAAGGGCAGAAATTGATGCGATTCCTTTGTGGAATTCCAAAGCCATCCCATGGTCCATGGAGAAAAGCCAACAGTTTGTGGCCTGTGATAAGTGACTAGTACTAACTGGAGGAGTTAGAGACCGAACTGATCAAACAAGCTTGCAGCTAATGGAGAAAGGTCAGGAGGTCACTGCTACGAGTTAAAGGATAGAGGCAAAACTTTTTTTTAAATCTAAAGAATGTATTTGCTGACCACATGGATCATCTGAGATGTGGACTGCTCTGAGTGCTAAAATCTGCAGGAGGCTTGATTATCACAATTATGCAAGGCCTGAGATTGCCCTGTTGAGGACTTGCTTCTGGATGCACAGGTGAATGCAGGGAAATGCTGGTGCAGTGAGAGGTTTTGGCCAGTGTAAAGGCAGTTAGTTTTCTGTAGAAATGGAAATGAATGTGGGCTGCTTATTAAGTGTGAGACTCCCTGCCTCCCAGACTGACTGAGCAACTCCTGCCACTGCACTGACACATGAATCTGCAGAGCTGTCTAGAAGGATATTGCGTCTCCCGCCCCCCCGTGCAGCCAGACTTGTCTGACAAGACTTGCCACAGGCTGTCATTTCTGGTCAGCGTCCTGGCTTCTACTTTTGCTACTTCATGGAACAGGGGGAAAAAATTCCACGGCAAATGTGTCAGCATTTCTAGCATGTGGATCCACCTTACACACATACGAGTTCACATGCAGCCCTCTGCCCAAATAAATCCACCACAACAAGCACACAACAGTTGCTGCCAGAACAGGAGAAATTATCAGCACTGCTTCAGCTATGGAAGCTTGATAAACAGGGCTCTTGCCATATTCTAGGAGACCGTGTCTGCATAAGAACCAGTCATGCAAGACAAAGAACTCCAAAAAGCTGAACAACAGTCTCTTTCCCTCCATCCAGTATTTTGGATAGGGGCTATTTTCTCCCTATGCCTCCCCACCTTGCAGCTGCCATCTTTCCTGCTGTGCAATGGACTTTTGCATAATATATCGCTACTGATCCTTAACGAGCTAAAGAGATTAACTGTCATGTCATCTCCTTCCTCTCCCGGCCTATTCAGAATACCCGGCCACTCCACTCTTCATATCCCTCAGCTGAAGGAGCGACATGCTCCATTTTCCACATACTTACTTTAATCAAAATGGTGGAAAACAGGCAGCCTACCTTCTCACACTGAAATAAGGAGCATTTCAGAGTAACCCTTATGATCTGTAGAGCTCCAAGCTGCTGAAGGGTGGAAAGAAACACTGGGCTGTGAACTGACACAAGGAAAGGGCCTGAATTGTATGAGGGCCCCATGGTAGCTGAAGTAGCTCGCAGCCTGTATTTCCCAGGAGGCGGTGGCTGTGGAAAGAAATCATGCTGCAGGTTGCTGAGGCCTACCATGGTGTCCCAAACAGAAGCATGTCTTGCAATTGCTTAAGGCTGGTTTTTGAAGAGGGGAGGGGGAAGAGCCAATTCGTTTTGAAAGACACAAGCAGGACTAAGGTCTATAGCATTCGCTAGGGAGTCTCCACTGCACCAAGAATCCCGGCCTGGGGCCCTCACATAACGCAGAGCAGGACATCCTCAACCAGTGGGGCACGGCCCAGAAGTGCATCATGAAGGGGCGACTGCTGGGTTTCACCCCACTGGGTGGGAGAGAAAAGAATCATTGGCAAATCCCAGACGCTTGGACGTGGGAGCTGCTAGGGCAGGGGAGTGAAGGAGCAAATCAATCCCACCACCTGCTGCTGCCCACCCAATCCTGCTGCAGCTCCTCAGCCATGCTCCTATATGTACAGCACTCAGCCATAGGTGGTATGCTGAAGGAAGCAGCACAGAAATAAAGGTGGCACGATATGGTATTGCCACCCTTACTTCTGCGCTGCTGCTGGCAGAGCGCTGCAATAGCCACTGCTCTCCAGCCGCCCAGCTCTGAAGGCAGCACAGAAGTAAGGTTGGCAATACCGCAACCCCCCCTAAAATAACCTTGCAACCCCCTGCAACTCCCTTTGAGTCAGGACACCCTATTTGAGAAACGCTGGTCTCCCCCGTGAAATCTGTATAGTATGGGGTAAAAGCATACCCCCCCAAAAAAACCAGATTTCGGGGGGTGGGGGGAGACCATATTTCATGGTCCGTGATGCGTTTTTCACGGCCATGAAATTGGTAGGGCCCTAGCCATAGGGAAACGGCACTTCAAGAGGCAGCACAGCCAGTTCCACAGCCTTTTCAACTGGTGCTGCCCGCAGAGCCGAACAACATGAGGACTGGGGAAGTGAGAAGCTCCACAACCAGCAATGGCTTCCCCATCCAGGCTTCAGCAACAATCTGGTGAGCCCCTACGGAGACATAAAAGCAGCCATCTTTTTTTGACAAGAGCCCAATCCCACCATACTTTGCAGGACTGGGTGGGTGGCAGTAAGGAACCAGGGATTTTTTTTTTTGAGGTTTCCGGAAGTAAAAGGTTGAAAGCCACTGGTACAGAGTTAGTTGAGCTGAGTGGTTACTTCCAAAATGGTGGCACAGAACAGCAGGCCATATCTGAGTCTACCTGTGTAGCTTGGGATGTACCAGCAGGTAACAGGCATTCCAGTCCATTTCCCCATAATATTTGTCTCCGAAGTTGTGAACCTAGAGTCTCTCTGTCTATCTAAGGTATTAATATGGCCCCCATTCCCATAGCACCTCACAACCTGTAATGTATTTATCCTGTGAGGAAGGGAAACGCTATTATCTCTCATTTTGCATATGGGGAACTGGGGAACAAAGACTCTAAGGCCCAGATTTCTAAAGGTATTTTGACATTGCTGCGCTCGGCACTGCAGTGCCTAACTAATTTAGGATCCTACATACCATTTTCAAAAGAGATTTAAGTA